CCACCACAGCACAACAAACTGATAGATGGGTGGGTGGTGGCCCCCACCAAATCAAAGATTAGGTCTCCAAGACTAGACAAGGTCCAGATCAAGCAGATGGGGCCACTAAGGGACCCCCAGAGTAGTAAAAGAGATGCTCCCAGCTTGGACAAGTTCCAGATAACCATCATTTTGCTAGAGCCCAGCCAAGATGCACACAGTGCCAGAGGTCCCCAGCTTACAGAGCCTGGCAGCAGACAGAACCCTCTGCAGACATCTGGTGTACACCCCGTGCTGAGGTCGGGGTGCTGCACTGTCTTTTGCTGAGAAGGTCCTTCTCCTTCACCACCCTGCTGATGTTGGGGTCACAGCCTCTGCCTCCCTCATCGGCCTGTTGACAGCCAGACCGGGAGCAGTTAACCACCCCACCCCACCCCCCAGGAAACTGCACCTATCAGTGCAGGGATGGGAGTCTTTCCTGTGCATTATTCTTCTTGAAAGGGGGGAGGGAGGGAGAGAAGGAGGGGCAAACTCTGACGTCATGGGCTTGCGTGTATCAGCCGAGTTGGAGACCGTCTGGAGCAGGTGCTGGGCAGGGCCTCTGGGAAAGGGGTAGAGGGCAGCTGGCTGGTCAGGTGGGGGTGTCCTGGGCCAGACAAGACCTCATGGTAGGATGAGGTTAAGCTTTCCTGGAAGCCTTGCCTGGGAAGTACGAATGACGCTAGTCTGGCCTCTGGCTCCCCTCGGAAGGTACAGGGGTGCTGGGGCAGAGTGCCAGCTCTGGGAGGCCTCCATCACGGATGGTCCGGGGGAGTCTGGGGGCTCGGACTCCTCCATATACTAACATCCCTCTCCTGCCCCAGCTGCTTCCTCTGCCTCTGTCCTCTCCCCGGGCCTCCTAACTCTCTGGCCCGTCCAGGAGGCAAGGACGCCTTTTCTCAATTACAGGTGGTGAAACGCAAGGCTCCGCGCAGGAACGGGGCTTGGCCAGAGTCCTGCTGCAAATTTCCTGCTCACCGCCTGTTTAGTGTCCTCTCGAAGAAGTTGTGCAGCTGGAAGGGGCCCCTGGGAAGAAATCCTTGCAGAGGAAACAGATGAGCAGTGAGAACTCGCCGTGCCTCCCCGGAGCCAGGAGGGGGCGCTCTTTTGAAGGAGCTTGTTCCCATCTCCTAGAGGAGGGGGCTAGACAATCCGGCCAGAGAGTCCCTTGACTAAGCCTCCTAGAAGCCCTTGGGCACACTTTCTCCCTGGAGACGCCCTCATTAGGTCTCCCAGCAGGTTCTGCTAACTGCCTGAACCTCAAGTGCGCCAAGGAAGGGCCCCTGGATGGCAGAGGCCTGGAAGAGTTACCAAAAGGAGGCGGGACTCACAAGAATAGGTCCTTTTTCCATGTCCCCGCCCTTCAGAGCCCAGGAGGGAGAGGGGTGGGGGGTCCCAGTCATGCGTCCCTCTGATACTTAGGGCCTGGCACACTAACATCTGTCCCTGACCTTCCCCAAGTCCTGATCCTTCTCCACCCCTACCTACACACCCCAAGTACCCTCTTTCCCTTTCCGCCATTCCATGGACTCCTCTCCCCCAACTAGTTGCTGGCTGTCCCCACCTCTAAGAGCACAAGGCTCCCACCCCTAGAAGCCAACTCCTCACCTCCCTGTCACATCTCCTGCTTCCAGATCAGACCCACCGCAGACTAGCCTCTCTCCCCAGCCCTCTCCTCAGACACCACCATCTGAGGGGTTGTGTGAGCCTCTGTTGTCTCTACAACCAAACACGCAAAGAGTGCCTTCCCGATTTTCTCAGTGTCTCCTGGTGGCTCTTGATGAGACCTGTCATTGGGCTCTTTTCCTTTGGTATCTTGTGGTGTCCTCTAAGTCGAGGTGCCCCACGGGGAGTGTGGCTGTTTTTCATGTAGGGTTTCTTCCTTTCTCTCCCGTGCCTGTTGGCCCTATGTTGTTCAGGAAGTCCACCTGCCACTCCAGGCTAGGACAGTCCTGGAGTGAGAGCTGTGTATGCCCCTCAGTTGTCATTATCTTTCTCCCCCCAAAAAGCGAATGTCTGTTTCAAGGAAATTCTTTCTTCTGGATCCAGTTCCGGAGCACCCAAGATGCTCCTGTGGATGTGGGCCCAACTCTTGCAGAAGGCCCCTCTTATGATCCCATGAGGAAAAGCAACAAGGAAAGACCCCTTCCCCAAATCTAGGCCCAGGAGGAAGAGACCCTCTGGCAAGGAAATTGAAATCCCATTGGAGGGTGCTGGGCAAGAGGGCAGACTCCAAAGACAAAATCTCCAGTTTTCATTTCAGTTGTATTCTGGTGATTCCTTCCCTGCAAATCCTTACAGTCCAGCCCCCTCCCAGGCCAGCTAAACAGAGCTGCTCCCCAGCACGGTCCAAGGAGCCGCAGCCCAGTGGCCAGAAGTGGGGGCTCACCAGATGAGTCCCCTCCCAAACAGAGGAAACAGCCCAAAGTGCAATTCTGTCCTCTCTACAGTTGGGTGGTGGTCGGATGTTTTCATTTAGCCTCAAAACTCAGAGAGGGAAGTCCTAGGTATTTGCTAGTTCCCCATCAACGGCATCCAAGAAACACAGAAGATACAACAGCCAGTACACATTCAAGCAGAAGGAAATGACCAATGGGGCACCAGAAACTTCTGTTCAGTCCTTCATGAGGGGCTTGAGAGTGTGTGGTCAATGCTCCCTGGAAATCAGCCCAGGGCTGGGTCTACAGTGAATGACTAGACTCTTGAAACTCACATGGATAAAGTCTAGAGACTTTGCAAGGGTCTCCTGGTGTGGTGCTGTAGAATAAGCAGAGGAAACTGCACCTATCAGTGGAGGGTGGGATACTAACCACAACATCAGCAGTTCAAACCTACCAGCTGCTTCTTGGAAACCCTATATAGGGTCAACTTTGAGTGAGAACTGACTCCACCACACTGTAACAACAACAGCAGAGAGTCTCCTAAAGGAACCCTGGTGCCGCTGCAGTATAAGCACTGGACTGCTAACCACAAAGTTGGTGCTTCTGTTCCACAGGAGAAAGATGGGGCTTTCTGCTCCCATTCTTCAGAAATCAGTAGAGAGGCATTAATGAATCCACCCAAATGGCAGAGGGCTTGTTTTGGGGGGTTAAAGACTTTTCAAGGGTGAGATTCCTTTATCCAAGCAGAAAAGGAAAAGGAACTTCTACCGCACACCCCAAGCTCCCTCTCCTCTTCCTTCTCACTCCTTCTCCTCTATGAACCAGTGCTGCCACTCTGTGGATGTCAAGGTGAAGAAGCAATCAGGGCAAGCTGCCTGGAAGTGGTGTGAATGCCCCAGGAGCCATACAGGACACTCTGTTGGAGTCTGGATCCTCCTGGAGATCTGGGATTCTGCTCTTCCAAAATCAGGGCCTAGGTGTGTGTTATTTGTTGAACAAAGGGACTGAGGGCCCAAATGATCCAGAGTTTCCCTTTCAGGGAACAAGAGTGAGAAGGAGTGAACCAAGAGAAGACAGGAGTCAGAGATGCTTGTAGGGTACCTGGTGCTCAAGGCCCCTTTGACTCCAGACTCTCACCCTCCCTCCGCACAGCTTCCTCTCCCTGAAAATTGCATCCCAGTTCTAGAGTCATCTGGGATGGTCCCCGTCCATACCTGGGCACTGCCACCATGGCCCCAGGGCAACATCTGCATTTATTCTTTCCTGCTCCAAAGAGGCAGGAAGGCCATAGATACAAGGGGGCTTCTAAATTTTCTTGGAAATATGGAATTATAAGATAATGAAAATTTCCCACAAACTTCTTAAATCCTTTTTGAAAATAGCGCATCTCGTCCAATTCTTGGGTTTATATTTCAAGAATCTCCAGGACCCGAGCAGCTTTGTCCAAGGAGAGGGAGTCGTGAGCCATAAAGAGACATGGCCACCGTGTCCGGACAGCCACAACTGGGCCTCACTATGGGCAAGAATGCAAAGGTGATCTCCAGTCACGGGTCCCAGAGGCCAGGTGTGGTTTGGGACCCAGTGAAACTCTCTCTTTCCCTGGTCTGTTCGAGTACACAGGGCAACAAGAGCAGACAACCCCCTATTGCAGGTTCTCGCTGCGCCTCTGCCCGCACAGACCAAACCTACCCGCCAAATAGGCCAGGGATCGTGCTGTGCGGTGGCTTGAGTGTGAGCTTGGAGTGTGAGCTAGGAGCGAGGACACGCGCTGCACTGCTCCGGACACGTACCAGGGCGCCGTATCCGGGCCAGCCCTTGCAATCTTCTCTTACTATCTCCAATCTCTCTCCCTTTCTCTCTCTCTCTCATAACCACACATACACGCAGACACACGTACACATTCACACAAGGTTTGAACCCTCTATATCGAAGACTGGCGCTCCCCCTGTGGGCCCGGCAAAGCCGACTATCCCCGCGCCTCCTGCCTGGACCTTGAGTCTGATCCTCTGCTGCCTCCACCCAACTGCGTTGGTGCAGTCGGAGCGCGCTCCACCAGTCGGTGAAGTTTCCAACTGCTCCCGTCAGGTGCCCAGGGACTAGTTTGGCAACAAGGCAGGTCTGCGTGGATCTCGGGCTCCACGAACTTTCTGATTGTGTGACTTTGCGAAAGTGACTTCATTCCTTCGAGCCTGTACTTGTACCTTCAAGGACGGAAATTGGTCTCCTGATGGAGTGCGGGTGATGGGGAGCGAGTGCCGGCCCAGGGCTGGGGCGCACGGGGCTGGGCACACCAGGGCGCGCCCGCTGCAAAAGGAGTTTCCGAGAGCGCTCCTTTGCAGCCCCGAGCGCTGCCCTGAGTGAGCCAGCAGAGCCTGGGGTCCCTCGAGGCTGGGATGAGGGCAGCGGCAGCGGAGAGAGCCCCCGCAGCCCCCTCCCGGCTCCGGCGCGCACAGTGCCATTGGCTCGGGCGACTGGGTGGGCGGGCAGATGACATCAGCGGCAGGTTGGATTATAAAGGCGGGAGCGCAGTCTCGAGCTCAGAGCGCACCCAGCCGGCGCCGCACAGCATTGGGACCCACGTTCGCCCGCAGCCCAGCCCGCCGCTCCGCGCTCGCCCGCCCGCTCGCTGGCCTCGCGTGTCCTCCACCCTGCGGGCATCATGCACCTAACTCAGCTGCTGGCCTGCGCCTTGCTGCTCACGCTGCTCTCGCTCCGGTCCTCTGAAGCCAAGCCCGGGGCACAGCCGAAGGTGAGTGTTGCTGCGAGGACAGCTGAGCCTTCGCTGGCCAGGGGGCCCGGGAGGATGTAGCGCGCAGGTGGTGGTGATGGGGTGGGAGTGGGAGGACAGAGAAGGCGCCTCTGCCCCCCAAGCAATGCGCGATGAGAGGTGGGAGCCCCTGAAACCCAGACTAGGGATGGACTTCGCCAGCCCCAGGAGATGTCCACAGAGGCACAGCGTGGCCAACAGGAGAGGGGCGAAAAAGGAGAGGTTAGGGGGTCCTCAAAGGCGAAACAACCGTGGCAGGTGGATGCCTGTCTGGCATCGCAAGTGACAAACCCCGCTGACTGGTGAGTCTGGCCGGAGTGTCAGGGGCCCCGAAAAGGCCCCACGCAACTGCCGTGCGTCCCTTCACCTATCGCCTTTTTTCCTCCAACAGGTCCCACGCACCCCACCGGGGGAGGAGGCGACCGAGCCCCAGGCTGCAGGTGGCGGTCAGAAGAAGGGCGACAAGTCTCCCGGGGGCGGCGGCGCCAACCTCAAGGGTGACCGGTCGCGACTGCTCCGGGACCTGCGTGTGGACACCAAGTCGCGGGCCGCCTGGGCTCGCCTTCTGCACGAACATCCCAACGCGCGCAAATACAAAGGAGGCAACAAGAAGGGCTTGTCCAAGGGCTGCTTCGGCCTCAAGCTGGACCGGATCGGCTCCATGAGCGGCCTGGGATGTTAATGTGGCGACCCCTGGCGGCGGTGAGTACACCAGCCTAGCTGCCCTGCTCCCCGGCGGCACCGAGAGACCCAGGCCTTATCCCCGCCTGCAGGTCGGCTCCCCTTTGATCTTCTCGCAGCCCTTGCAGACCGGCCTCTAGAGCGAAGCCAGGTCACCGGGACTGAGTGTATGCGTTCCATGTTGTTTGTACTCTGCTTTACCCCTACCCCATTTATCAGCCCATTTTAGAGATGAAGAAAATGAGGGATAAAATAACCAGGGAAGTTTGTCAAGGTCAGTAATGGCTCCGCCTGGATGAGTTCACCTAGCTGTTTATAGAGAGAGACAGAGAGATTTGATAGGGTCCTGTCTACCCCAAACCATCAACATCAGTCCAATTTTCCAGTTAGGACATTGAAGGAGGATTATGAGTTTGTGGGAGCAGAGAAAAAAGCCAGGGGTAAGTTTATCTGCCATTCCTTGTGCAGACGGTGCCCAGGGTAGCAGATAATCATCTGGGCAGCTGTTCCTCAATCCCCCAACTGGCAACTTTATCTTCTGGAAAGATTACAGCAAGAGAAATACCTGCCACTTCACAATAGACAGAATAATCCTCAGTTAGCATCCACCAGGGAGTTCTGCCAATAGGGACTTTCTGCTGCTTCTCCCATCTCTAATCTGTGGGCTGATTATTCTGTCCAGGGTCCTGATGTTACTGCAGCCCAGTGTTTCCACAGTAAACCTAAGTGTTCCTGACCCTATCTCAGTGCCGGGAAAGGAAAAAAAAAATAAGATAAATCTTTACTTGTGCCCCAACCTCCAACTCAATATGTCCCACAATGAGCTCCACCCCAACCCTGGCCCCCAATCACACTTCCAGACTCCCTGTTTCTGGCATGAGCCCCTCACTCTTTGCCAGGGCTGGAAACCTCAGCCCTTGCCAGGGGCCAAGTACTGGCAATCGCTTTACCTCTTCTAAATGCCTACCACCCATTACTGAGCACAGAATAATGCCCCCATCCTCTGATTTTAACATTCAAGAGCTTCAGGATCAAATCCCTGCAGGTTTCTAGCCTTCCTTCCTGCTACCATCCCCTGTCTGTCCCATTCTAGGGCATGGGAAAAAGATCTCTTTACCCATAAAGCCTCATTCACGCTTTGTGCACACTGGCCTCCCCCCAGAGGGAAACAAGTGCGTTTCTCTTTGAACCCCTCCAGCAAATTACCTAGACCTTTTTTAGAACCAACGTCCCCACCCAGGTGGTGCAAGCAGTTTGCACTCAACAACTAACCTAAGATTGGTGGTTTGAACCCACCGAGCAGCACCAGAAGGAAAGCCCTGGCGACCTTCATCTGTAAAGTTTGTTGTCGTTAAGTGTCATTAAGTTGGTTCTGATTCATAGCGATCCTATATAGGGGTTCTGAGGAGCAGCTGGTAGGTTTGAACTGCCAACCTTGTAGTTATCAGTCCAGTGCTTATCCTATAGCACCACATCAGGACCTAGCGTAAAAAAAAGCCTATAGAGCTGTTCTACTCTGTTACATGGGGGTCACCATCTCGACAGTAACAGGTTTGGTTTGGCTTTGCGTTTTACATCACAGAACACCTTTTCCTGGGAGGTATAGTTGTTTCCGAATTTCTTCACCTTTCCATACTGACTTGTGATCAACTTGAGAGCTAGAAGGTAGCCTAAGGCTATTGACACCCCACAATACCCCCAATAATGACCAGAGAAACCTGCTTTCAGGCGCTCCTCTCCAGTTGCCCTAGATTCTGAATGGTGCTCTCACCTCTCTGCAGCCACACTAGCCCAGCTGTGTGCTTCTCCCTGATTCTACAGGGGTTCCTGTCCTCTGTGACCTGGATTCACCCCTGTACAGGGAGCAACATGGGGTGGTACTTGGAGACTGCTCAAATCTTGAGCCTGTGATTTAAGCCCCAAGTTCACACTTTAGGAACGAAATAAAAGCTCATTCATCTTTGGACTAGTGCCTGGAATGCTCACCCCCACTCCCTAGGAACCTTGCTCTTGAATGTGGTTGCCACCAGGTGATGGGCCCACCTGGTCAGAGAGAGGCACCAGGTAGTGGGATGCAGATTACTAAAACTTCTTGATCCTTTTGAGCAGGAGATCCTGGAAGCTCTTCCTTTTAGAACTCCCCTTACCTTTCCCAGTTCCACCGTGGTCCACACTGACCACCCCCTCGGTGAGCGTGCAGAGCCTGAAGATCCCCAGGGTTTATCTTAATAAAGAACAGCAGCTTAGCAAAGATGTTCTCAGGTTGGAAAGCTCCTCTGAGGTTATGGCCAATCTCCCCACCCAGAAGTTGGCTTTGGCTCCAAGCAGCAGCCATAATAGCTGTCGCTGATGGTTATAGGTCTTGGTTATAAAATGCTAATGACAGACACAAATGTGGCTGGTACCTGAATGAACACCTTGCCCACAGGCCCAGGAACATCCTAGACATCTGCCATCTATTTTACTAGATAAGGTAGCCAGAGACGTGAGTTGGGGTTCACTAAGCTCTTTAGGATCCCTCTGGGTGTTCTGTCCTTGTTAGGGGCACCCAGTCTCACTAACAGGGACTAAACACTGCTTAGCTTGACTCAGTGCACGGGGAATGGTACTGTTCTCAAGTGACTCTTAGAATGTCGGATCCCATCAAACTCAACACATCTGTTCGTTTCCCCTGCTTCTGAAAGGAACCCAGGCCTCAGACCCTTTCAGAAGTATAGCCCGCTGGGGGCGGGAGGGCTGCTTACTGAGTGGTGACTATGACCCAGACATTCTGCCTCCCGTTGAATCTCAAAGGCAGTCCTGAGAGGTGGCTATTATCCCATTTTATGGATGAGGAATGATACACCTATCCGAGGCTACGCAGGAAGCAAATGTCAGAGTTGAGACCTGATCTCAGGTGTCTTCAGGTGTTTCTCTCTTCCTCCACTCCCCTCCCCCATCACCAAGACTCAAAACTAGCCCCAGACGATTGACTGGTGGGGTGGGGGTAGCGGAGCACTCCATTCTCTTTCCCTTGTAGCTCACTGAGCCAGGGTTAAGGCCTATAGTTCGACTGAGGGGCAGGGTTGGCAGCCATGCTGGTGCCACTGTGCTTGGGGCAGGAAGTGCCAAGGGCACAAAGAAGATGAGGGAGTGTCCTGGAATCACCCTACAGGAAGGTCTCTGTCAGGTGGTTGTAAGGCAGAGCTGGAGGAACATTACTTCCGGCTCCTGGTGTGGCACTGTAGGATAAGCACTGGACTGACCGCAAGGTCGATTTGGCTTCAAATTCATCAGCTGATCCTCAGAAGCCCTATGAATTGGAACCGACTTAGCAGCACTTAACAACAACAATAACAACACTGCAGGAAATGGGAAGAAGGTTCTAGAACTGCCCTGCAGGCTAGTCTTTCTCAGTGACGGGACTAGAACTGAGTTTCACGTGTCTCCTCTGTGTTTCAGGCTTGGAAACTTGCTCCGTTGTGATGACATAATCTTTGGTCACCAGCCTGCCGGAAGCTGGAAACACACCACCTCCAACACAATGTGGCTTTTACATTTCTTTCTTTCTTTCTTTTTTCTTTCCCTGGTACTGGGAGTACACAACACCAGCTGTTTTATGATTATTCTGGAGGGGGCATGATTTTATTGTTTGATTGTTGTTGTTTTTTTCATGAAAAATAAAAAGTTATATATATTATATATATATATTATATACATAAGACACACACACCTACACCGACTTGATGACAAGGGACAGTTTTTAAGAGACTGACAAAACCAGCTGTAAACCATGGCTGTTTGTAAATTCATGTCATGCATAAATGTATTTATGTTGTAAAGCTATTTATATTGTTTATAAAGAGATATTTATAAAAATTTTATTTATGTAACTGAATGAAAGGAATCAATCATTGTAATGTTGTTGTCATAACTAGTTGAACAATGTAAAAGAAAAAGAAAAAAAAAAGTCATTCCATGAACATTTTGAAAACTGTCTTTATTTATTCATTTCATTTATTTTTTAGGAATTACTCTGAAGCCGAGAGCGAATACAAAAGGCTTTTTGCCTCTAAACAGCATCTAATATCTGGGTTCCCAATTCTAGATGAGCTTGTTTCCGGATCCCCTGGGGAGCTTGTTAAAAATGCAGACTTATCCCAACAGCTGAGTCTCCAAGGATTGAACTGGCCAGATGAGTTCTGTCCCCCAAGTGATTCTAGTCAGCTCAGCTAGGGCAAGAAAGTCAGCACCGCTGTTGTGAATTAAGTAAAAATTAAGCCCAGCTGACTCATAACAAGCCCCATGCACAAGGAGATGAACATTTTGTCCAGCCCTGTGCTATCCTCATGATTTGCGTGGATCGGACTATTGAGATCCATAAGGTAGTCACTGGCGGAGTTTTAAGTCCGGAAGCTCCACCGTTCAGCATCCTAGTACCTCCACTGACAAATGGGTGGCAGCTGTGCCTGGGGTGCACTGGCCAGATTCAAACCGGGGCCTCCCACACAGGAGGTGAGACTTCTACCTCTGAATCATCACCACCCCTCTATTCCACCTTTTCTCTGTTATCAGAGGAAAGAAAGAATTCTATAAATCCTGCAGAATTGGCCAGGATCCCTCCTGGATCTTACCCACTTGCGCACTGAAGCCTAGGACAGGATACTTTTTACCTTGTGGTGAATGTCATGGTCAACCAAGGCTGAGGCACCTTCTGTTCAGAGAGAAGAGCGGGTATTCTCAGGTTTCATATTTGTGTCCTGTATTGTTCTCTGGTGGGGGGTGGGGGGCTAGGGTTTTCTCTTCATTTCATGTCTATGCAGTGTGGACCCTCCAATGAGAAAATAAGAAACACTTAGAATCTCTTCCTGAAACCAACAGGAAATGTACATAATTTGAAGCCCATCTAGCTCTGTCCTTCCTACTGTGACATTTCTGCAGACATTCCTGTTGTGTCAGGAGAAGAGAACAGGTGGACACCAACCCATTTGGCAGGATTGGGAGCAGTGGTAGTCTCATGGGGTCAGCAGGTCCCAGAGGAGGTGGTCAGTGACCCTGTGACCTTTGTCCCCAAGTGGCTCTCCAGTAGCACATTCTCAGGTAGGTAGGTAGCCAGTGCAGTGACCTCACCTAGATGAGAAAACACCTTTTAAAACTGGTTCTAGTTGGGTAAGATTAGAGTCCTCCCCCTGCTCAATGTTCACCCCAGGGGACATTTCCTGTACCCCTTCCTGGGGAGTGGCCCACTAATCAGGACATGGCTATCTTCCTCTGTGGCTCACAACTCGGGTTTCTGTGTCAAGGAGGATGGGGTGGTGGAGGGGTCTCACTGTGCTGTCCGCAGATCCTGTACAAGGGGCCACCCAGGGTGCTACAAGGGGGTGGGAGGGGGGAAGGCTGCAGTTACAGGGCACGTTTGCCTGAGGGGGAGGCAGGCAGACTTTCCCAAAGCCCAGAGACAGAGGGGCTGCAAATTCTGGGACTGGGGAACCATCTTTAAAGTTAAGGAGCTTCCCAGGGCTGCTACGAATCCTCCACAAGGTGAGGCAAATTATCCCCAGAGTCTTCCTCCACAAACGAGCCTCAAACAGCCCGCACAAGCTCTAGATGCCAACTTCATCCTCTCCGTCCCCTCCAGGCTAGGGTGCTGCCAGGAAACCAGGCCAATCTCTTACATGAGAGTTCTGCTGATCCACAAGGAAGGGTTGGCAACTATGTTGTTGTTGTGGTCGTCATCATGGGAAGTGTTTTTTAACCGCCCCAGGTTACCCAGGTGATATTATGTTACCCAAGGTCTCCGCTCTGGCCACCTCCCATGTCACTAGCATGTCACCTCCAAAGCGGCCTCTGAGGTTCCTTCAGGTGACAGGAGCAGGACTGCCTGGAGGGATAGCCAGGGCAGAGTGAGGTCACAGACTGGTTCTCAGGGACAGGGCAGGCTCCTGCTTGGTGTTAGAGGACTCCCACCGGGTGCGGAGGGGTGAAGAGCTACAGGTGCAACCAGGCTCCGGCCAGCCGGCCGCCCCATGAAACCACGCCCTTTCTGAAGGGTGCCCCGTGACTAGGGAGTCAGCGTGGGCATTGGGGGCGGTGTCGCTGAGCCTGCCTCCGGGGTATCCCTGTTGTTGACAAGCAGAAGCCCTGGCTGGGCAAGACTCAGCTCCCAAACCCGCCTGGGGGAGAAGCCCAGCCTCTCCAGCCCACGTGGGGGTTATCCAGGGGTGCCCCACCTGCCATGGGGGGGAGGGGGCAGAGGACGTAAGGAGGCGGAGCCAGGGGGCCGCCCACTGAGACCACAATCCTGAGCCGTGCTTGGAGGGGTACGCACTCTCTGGGCATGGGGGTTGGGGGGCATCTGAGATCAGCAGCCATGTTCGTCAGCTCAGCCGGTGGTCTTCCTGAAGGGACTGCCCTGCGAGGTGTGGGCAGCTGAGCGTGGGGTAAGGGATACCAGCTTCACCCCCAGGACTGGAGGGGTGCGTCACCAAAGTAAGGGGTGTGAGGGAGAAATGCAAGTGGACTTGTGCCCTAGGCGCCACTTTAGGGGGCGCCTCTGAGCAGTTTCTAGTCACCATTGGTATTCCATGGGCAGCTGTGAGGTATCACTCAGCAAGTTTTATGGCACTTTGCAGAGATTGCGATTTTTACGGTTTTTTACACATTGAAGGTTTGGGACAACCTTGTGGGGAGCAAGTCTTTAGGCACCACTTTTCCAACATGTGCTCATTGCGTGCCTCTGTGTCTATTTTAACCCTTCCTGAAATACTTCAAACTGTTTTCATAATCTGTTCTTGTCAAGTGTCATCGAGTTGGTTCTGACGCAGAGTGACCCTGTACAGCAGGGGTGGAGAACGTCTGACCAGCAGAATCACTTGGTCTGGCCCTGCCAAGGCAACCGCAGTTCCAGCCATCACATTGTTGTTGTTGTTGTTGTTAAGTGCTGTCGAGTCGATTCCAACCCATAGCGATCCTGTATAGGGTTTCCAAGGAGCAGCTGGTGAATTTGAACTGCTGACCTTGTAGTTCAAATGGCTTTGCAGTCTGGTACATTAACCCAAAGTGCCACACCAGGAGTCCAGTCATCACTATTGTTGTTGTTAGGTGCCACGGAGTCGATACCAACTCACAGCGACCCTATGCACAACAGAACGAAACACTGCCTGATCCTGAGCCAACCTCACAATTGTTGCCACGCTTGAGCCCATGGATGCTGCCTGCCACTTGGCCAATCCATCTCACTGGGGGTCTTCCTCTTTTTCTCTGACCCTCTACCTTACCAAACATGATATCCTTCTCCAGCAACTGGTCCCTCCTGACAATATGTAGGGTGAGTTAATTAAATATTTGTTGTTGTTGTTATGTGCCGTGGAGTCGGTTCTGACTCATAGCGACCCTGCATAGGGTTTCCAAGGCTGTTAATCTGTACGGGAGCAGAATGCCTCATCTTTCTCCCACGGAACTGCTGGTAGTTTCGAACTGCTGACCTTACAGTTCGCAGCCTGATTCGTAACCACTACGCTACCAGAGCTCCTTCATGCTAATTTTTAAGTTGATAATTTTGTGTAGCCTGTGAATGGTGTTGTAAATTTTGGCAGACAAGAGGTTCCCCAGCCGTGTTGTACAGGGTTTCCCAGGGGCAGCTGACCTTGCTGTTCAAGCCGACAGTGTGGTCCAGTGCTTTATCCTACAGTGCCCCACCGGAACGCCTTCAAAGTGCTATTCCCAACTTCCTAGACTGCCCTCTCACTGTCATCTATCCATTCCACTCATAGTGACTCAAGAGAGGGTCTCCTGGCTTTACGGGAGCAGATGGCCAACCTTGCAGTTAGCAGCCTGATGTCTACCCCACAGCACCACCAAGGCTCCTTAATAGACTACACTAGAGTGTAAACATAACTTCTGTGCACTGGGAAGCCAAAAACTTGGTGTGCCTTGTTTTAGGGTAATGCTCACTTTGTGGTGGTGATCTAGCATCGAGCCCCCAACATCTCTGAGGTATGCCCATAATTGCCATTGGCGTGATTTTCTGTAGTTATGTCTCTGACTGTCTTCTCTCACCTCCAGGCTCCTATGGGAACCTCCGATTGGCTAAACCCAACTGGAAGCCATCAGGGTGCCTGGGGATCTGGCCTCTCAGGACAGGGGTAGGGTAGGAGGCCACCAAACCAATAGCACATGAGTACTTGGGTTGGAGGCATGGGGTCAGGGATAACACTAGCATTGAGTCAGAGGTCACCTCCTTGGAGATGGTTACCGGACTTGAAGGATGACTGGGTGGGGTGTGGAGCACAGGGTGACCAGAAGCTCCTGACCCAGGAGTGACCCATACACATAGCTCTCCTGGTCTCATCCATGGGTCACTGATGCCCCCTCCCTTCCTCGCTGGGAGTATCATTCTAGTTTGCCCTCCCAGGTGGCTGAGCAACTTGATGTTCTGTGTTATATCCTGGTCCAGGCTCTGGAAAGATGGCACTTCCATCGGGAAGGGACAGGAACAGAAAAGCTGCCCACTGAACCACACTCCATCCCCTCCCTGGCCCCCAGTGCAGACTGGACTATAAGGTAGCGGGTCTCACCCCACACAGGTGCACTTCCCCACTCACAGTTCCATTTTTTGCCCTTTTCTACAGTTAGAGTTTGTTCCCAGGCTCTGGCCTGGATGCAACTTCCCACTGCACCAATTATTTTTGTCAACT